TCACAGAAAAATATGTAAAACAAAGTATAAGAAAAATTTAAACACTAAGCAAACACTGGTAATCACACAATTTGCTTCCACTACTTCGCAAAATATTATGAACATTTTCTTAACTCTTAAAAATGATTCCAGTGAGGCCAGAGTGATAGTATAGTGTATGGGCACTTGTCTCTTGCACATGGCCAGGCCAGATTTGAGCCCCAGCAATCCATACGGTTCCCCAAGCACCACCAGGAATGATCCTTGAGCGCAGGGCAGGAGTAAGCCTTGAGCATCTCTGGGTGTGGCCCAAAAGAAAAAGAAAAAAAATTCTCCTAGCAAGAATGTAACAGGACCAACATATATACATATGCACATAGAACTGGTTGTTGTGAGATCAAATAAATGGTTCATAAATTCCTTTAAGACAGGTCAAGGACATGTAACAGAAGAGCACTATGTGTGTGCATGCATGCACGTGTATTGTGTGTGTGTGTGTGTGTGTGTGTGTGTGTGATAGAGAGAGAGAGCAATTCTTTTTATACATAATTTACTTTGCTTTATTTATTTCAGCCACACCCAGCCATGCTCAGCCATATGATGCCAACGATGGATCCTGGGCCTCCTATGTACAAAACATGAGCTTCATTCTTTTTAGCTATAATCTTAGGATGAAATTCTTTTTGTGGTGGCAGGGATAAAAATCCAGACCTGCCAGGCATAAGGCATGAGTTCTGCCATTGAGCCTCCTCCCTGGCTCTTAAATCACAGCAAAATGGCTTTTGTTTTGGGATTACACCCACTAGTGCTTGGGCTACTCCTGGTTCAGCACTCAGAATCACTTCCAATAGTGCTGTAGGGACCATATAGTGCTGGAGATGGAACCCAGGCCTGTCGCATGCAAAGCAGACACACTGATTCTTTGAAATGAGCCCCAAAGTTGAGCATTTCAGATTTTTGAGTTTTTTTTTGTGTGTTTTGTGTTTGTTTGGTTGGTTCTGTTTTTGTTTTTTGTACCAAGGACCTTACACATAGAGGAAAAGCACTCTACCACCAAGTTACATCATCCCTGGCCACAATGAAGATTTCCTGATACAATTAAGTAACATTAACTAACCCAAGAAGGAGGAAGGCACACCAAGAGAAATCCTCTCCAAAAGGACATTCTATAAAACGAACCTGCACCCTTTCCAAAGTGTCAAAGTCTGGGGTCAGAGAGAGAGAGCGGGGATGAAGGCACATGGCTTGCCTTCGGTCAACTCTGGTTTGATCCCTATTATCACATGGTCCACTGGAATACCTGGGTAAAACTCTGAAGACCCATATATTCAAATGCTGCGGGTAGACCAGGTGTAGCACCCAGGGCCCCTACACAACAGTTTTGAGGCTCCTCACAAAAGCTAACATTTAAAAGTTTTTTTTTTTTTAAAGGCAGAGAAACAGTTCCAGAGTAAAGAAGGTTCCACAGATATGTAAACTAAATGCAACAGTGACACTGGATTGGATCCTGAGTTGGGAGAAAAATCACCATAAAAAGCTATGATTGGGTAATACTATTGCTTCAATATTAACTCTTCTAGGTCTGATAGTTGCATTGTCACTGTGCTCTTGGAAGGTAAAATACTTATGGATAAAGGCATATAGAATCTTTAATTTATTCTCATGAATTGATAAAAATAATAAATATTTTTTAATTTATTATTTATTAATAAAAAAAATTATTGGAGCAATAGCACAGCGGGTAGGGCGTTCGCCTTGCACGCAGCCAACATGGCCGACCAGAGTTCGATTCCTCCGCCCCTCTCGGAGAGCCCAGTAAGCTACCGAGAGTATTCGATATGTCGATAAATATTAGTACATATTACAAATATCTAAGAATATAATTGATAAACTATAGTGTAAAGGGAAAATAAGTGGCTGCAAGTATTAATAAGTAATGAGTTTGGAGAAAGGAAATGCTAAAGTTCATGATATTAATATTTTTAATTTTTCTCTTGATACATTTGTTTTTTTTTTAAAGAAAACTTAGCCTGGGTTCAATCCCCAGCATCCCATATGGTCCCCCAAGCACCGCCAGTAGTAATTCCTGAGTGCAGAGTCAGGAATAACCCCTGAGCATCACTGGGTGTGACCCAAAAAAGAAAATAAATAAATAAATAAATAAATAAAATTGGCTTCTTTAAAAAAAAAAGCCTACTAAGTTTCTAGGTAAGAGGGTTTTTTTTTCTCATGCTAAATTATACTCACCAAAACAGATGAAAGTAGAACCTATTTGCTAAGCTCTAGGTCTACCCAAAATAAGTGACAATAAATGGTCTTCCTTTATCCCCTTATAATACAATAAACAAAATGAAAGAGCCTAATAAGTAGTTTCTCTACCTCTACCTTTTACTAAATTTACAAAACTGTGAGCCAATACATCATTCATACAGAGTTACATGAGTGATCTATCAACAACTTATTAAACGTTCTATTGCTTATAACTTCATTTTAATGGTGTGGGGGGGGGAGGGTTCACCAGTGGTACCAGGAGCCACTGGGGCTACACTAGCCATGGTATACCAGTGACTGAATCCAGGACCCCTACATGGCAAGATGCATTCCACCCTCTGTGTTATCTCCCAAGTCTTCCTGCTTCTGATTCATTGGCAAAAATGACCAAGTGGCATAGGATTCAATCTAAAACTGGAAAAAACTAATTCAGAACTTATTACTTTTATTGTATCAGAAAACACCAAACTTAGAAAACACCAAACCAGCAAGCCAAAAGCACAGGTCATTAAGCAGAACCCTGATTTACATAAGAAATGGTGACTCCTTTCCTGTAAATGCCAATCCCTGGCCAAAACTTTTCACATCATAACCACTCATGTTGATTCATTAAGTGCAGGGATGTTTTGCAATAATCCCCCACGTCCCCATCACAGAGAGTCACTGACTAAAGCAAGCCCCACAGCTGAAAATGAGTTTCTGTTTCTACCACTTCCAAGTGTATGAGTCAGGCTCCTGCAGATGACTGTAATCATCTCAATTCTGAAGGATACACACTTGGGTTAAATAGCGACACTAAAGCAGGACTCAGCAGATTATGGTTCCTGCTTTCACCTCTGTGCGTTCTTGTGTTATTGTCCAGGGTCTGTGTAAGGCAACAGAAAAGGGAATATAGATAAGGATATCAGGAGAGCGGAGCAGTTGTGGTGGACACTCTCTGTGAAAATCTGTCCCTCATCTTAAAGTCTTCCTTACATCCAATAATCATATTAGAAAATGTTTGCTGCATACTGTTCATATCCTTTGGAATCCTTTTAAAAAGATTAGCAGATTTAGGGGCTGGAACAATAGTACAGTGGATAATACATGTGGCTATGCATGTGGCTGACTCAGGTTTGATCCTTTGCACCCCATACGATCCCCTGAACACCACCAGGAGTGATCCCTGAGCACAAAGCCAGGAATAATCCCTCAGCATCACCCAGTGTGGCCACCAAAAAAATAAACAAAATTTTAAAAAAAATTATTAGCAGATTTATATATACCTTGAATATAAATTTGCTGGGATTCATAATGATTTCTATTCTTAATCATCAAGTAAGTGTGTGGGAAAAGGGGGATATACTGGGGAGATTGATGGTGGGAAATGTGCACTGGTGGAGGGATGGGTGTTTGATCATTGTATGATTGTAATTCAAACATGAAAGCTTGTAACTGTATCTCACGGCGATTCAATAAAATATAAAAATAAATAGAAATAAACAAACAAATAAAGAAAAAGGGATCTGATCTCCTGGATTCCCCTTCCCCTCTAGGAGCAGATTATTACTGGAGCTGATATGTCCAAGTTCTGCTTCTCGGTCTCTAAAGGAAGAACATTGCTTATAGTGGGTTTAAGAGTTTATTGAAAAGATGGGTAATGTGGCTCAGCCTGGTCAGATCCCTGACACCTCATATTGTCTCGCTCAAACCACTCTGAGCCCTGGGCACAGAGCCAGGCAGAATTAAACCTTGAGCACAGCCAGGAGGGGCCCAACACCCACTCAAAATTAAAGAAAAAAAAATCACCCTAAGTCCACTTGTAAAAGGAGATAAGTTAAGTCCAAATACTGAAACCCCAGATATGACCTGATTACTTCGATCTTCCAAAGTACATCTGTGAAGAAGACATCTCCCCATCCAGAGATTTCCTATTTCCACTTCTGGGCCCAGGACCATGAGTGTCTTGGCCCCTCTGCCCCATCTGTAACCACCTGAGCGCAGCAGAGACCCCACGATCTCACGGAGCTACTAGGAGAACAGCGGACAGCGTGGTCCCATGTGATTTCTTCGCTAATATACTGCTAGAGTTTGGTGGCTTCAGTTAATGAAAGAAAGCGGGGTGCGAGGGGGTGTGAAATCACTTGGAGAGGTTCGAGCATACTTATGGAAAAACTTACTTCATAAACGTATTGAAAGAAATAACAATGAGCACAAATGGGCACAGAAATACAGGTGGCCCAAACTAGCTTGGGAGGGTGGCCCGTGCCACAGAGGGACCCCAAGGCCTATTCCTCTCCCAGCAAGCACTCGGCCACCCAGCCACATCCTAGTACCACCTCCTGCATTGGTGGGTTCGGGTGAGAGGTACCACCAAGTGGCTGGAGCTCCTATTACTGCAGTGGGAAGCCTGGTTTGACCCCCACAGTGCCCGGAGAGAAGGAAATTCTCAGCAGTGCCCCTGCCTCGGCCCACAGGAGTGCTCAGAGAAATCTCACCTTGGCCTGCAGGAGCGCTCAGAGAACATTCGGTCTTTTCTGGAAAGAAAGCCTCTCTCTCTCGGTTCAGATGACCGCGGGTAGAACTCAACCCTAACACACACGCGACAGTGATTTCTATTTATGGGGCTCCCGGAATGGAAATTGGGAAACGGCCTCATGGACCGGCCCCAAAAGGTCCTGCTAGGTCCCGGGTAGCCTGTGACCTCTGACTCGGTGGGAGAGACAGCTTACATAAGCGGGGACCGGCGGCTGTCTGAGAGCAGGACTTACCTCTTTCTCTATTTTGAGCAGCTTCTTGACTGCCACCTCCTTGTCCTGGGATATCCATTTGGCTCGGTAAACACTCCCAAAACTTCCTCCGCCGCAGTTTTCAAAAAACTGCAAGTCATCAAATTTGATTTGCACAAAGGAGGCGCCGAGAGACGACATCTCATAATGACAAAGTAGGATACTTCCTCCAAATCTGCAGAGAGAAGGGGGAGAGGAGAGGAGAGTTGGCTGGGCTGCAAGAGAGAGCTCGGGTCCCCCTGCTCCTCTGAGTCCCACCCTGGAGGCCGCACAGCAAAAGCTCCAGGAGAAGCAAGATAACCAAAGGGGCCAAAACCAAAACATTTACGCGGGGTCGCCTGCGCCCAATTCAACAGCGACTTGCCCAGGCGTTTGCGCACAGCTGTCCACCCAGAAAAGGCTCTGCTTGTGCCCTCCGCCCGAACCTAGCGCAGGCTTTCCTGCACATCTCTGAGCTGTGACCAAAGGCTACTGTGTCACCAGGCCCCTAAGGTGAATTCAGGAGCTGGGGAGCAGGCTTTCAGCCGCACGTTGGCTTAGCTTCCCTGGCATCCCAGGCATGCATGCCATGGCTCCCGCTGTGCTCACTGCACGCAAAATGGACCTAACCCGCAGCGGCCAAGCATTGTGGCACACGCACAGTTCCAAAGCTGGACGCGGAGCCTGCAGGCAGTGCTGGAATTCCAAAAGCAAAGGCTTCCCTTGAGGATGACAGAAAAGTTGGCCAAGTGGTTTTCTTTCTTTCTTTTTTTTTTTTTCTTTCCAGAAGTGGCTCCCTGGACTGGATACTCTTGCACACTTAATTAAAGAGTAGAGCATTTACCCTTGATTACAATATATTAAGTCATCCAAGGAATACTGCCAAGAATGTTTTAAAAAAATATTATGCTTGTTTCCAGAGGAACAGATCTCTCCTCCCAGAGATTAGTACAGTGATATTCTACAGTCTATGGGGTTTTGTGATTCTACAGGTAAGTGGCTATTCTTCATATCCCATGTCAAATCAGACTGTTGGGGGGTGGGAGAATGGAGGGAATGAAAACAAACAGAAAATCAAAGAACTGAAACTGGAGACCTGTATTAGAAGGCAGATTTTAAAGGTCTGCTTCTACATTCTTGCCTACACCGTAAAACAGGTGTCCGAGATGTGGCTTAGGAGTAGAGTACGAGCTTCACAAGCATGAGGCCCTGGGTTTGATCCCCAGCCACCACACATACACAATTTATAAAACAGAATTTCACAACGAGGAAATAAAAATGACAAATCCATAGCATAGGAAATTCTCCAAAATCTGGGTAGCCCCTAATGATCAATGCCATATAAGACAAAAAATTAAAGTAAGAAAACTTCTAGCTTAAGGAAGACAGAGCAGTAAATGAATCCTCACTAAACTCAAGATATAATCCCTGAGTGAATTATAGGACAGAAAACCTACAGAGATAGTAGATAACATGTAGGAGAAACTTGAATAGAATATTAGCTACAAATTAGATAATAATTACCCATGACAAATAATAGTAGTCTGATTCCCTAGAAGGATGTCCTTGTTTGGGAAGACATACTGAAATATGATTATATCTTAAAAATGGGTCAACTCCCCCTTAAAATAAGTATACAGATCTATATAGACAGGAGGCAAACATGGCAAAAATGTGAAAAGCTGGTGTGTGGAAGTGAAAGTTCTATGGGCATTTTACTACTCTTTCCATTTTCTATGGGATTTGATTGGCATATCTCATTACATCATCATTGCAACCATGTAATCATCACACCCTGATTTTTCAGTAGCAATGGCATAATTTTTTAAAGGCTTCACAGAATGGTTGAATCCCACTCTTTGGCCAAAAACATGGCATAATTAAATGAGCTACAGTATTTTCAAATTAGAACATAAGGGAAGCAGTTTGTACCTATGTAAACTGACAAAAATTCTTCATAAAGTTTTGGTCTAGAGATCCGACAATGAGCATCTGAGTAGCAATTTAGGAATACCAGGTCACTGAAGAATGCTGACTTCTTTTGGGGCCATATCTGGCTGTTCTCGGGGCTTACTCCTTGCTCTGTGCTCAGGGATTACTCCTGAGTTTACTCAAGGAACCATATGCAATGTCAGGGTTCAACCACATGCAAAGCAAGTGCGTTAAACCTTGTACGATTTCTCTAGCCCCAAAATGTCGATTTCTTATGCAGTCAAATTATTCCCCTTTGGGGAGAAAAAAAAAAGAAAGAGAATTGCTTACTGATCCTTAAAAGATAACTTAGAATCCACATAAAAATATCAGGCTGGGGGTGGGTGGGTGAGTGATTGGGGAGGAAACTACAGTATCCAGATACACTTCGTACACATATTTGAAGCAACAATTTATGTTACCTTTTTGTTTTTTGCTTCAATTTATTCAGGTTTAATAAGCAAAAAAAAAGTGCTTGGATAAAATTTAAGAATGTGCTAAAGAGGTCTACAGCATAGGCAAGCCAATATATGAGCTCAACAAAATGTAAAATACTATATACAGGATTTTCTCAATGTTACAGGTGTTAGGTCTATATTATATACTCATAATTTATCTTGTCACTGTCTCATTTGCCAAGGCATCAAAAATCAGATGGACTGAACACATAATGAGATTTGGAGATGACTGCTGGACTAGAGCTGTTACCGACTGGATTCCACGGGATGTCAAAAGATCGCATGGCTGCCCACCTACGAGATGGTCAGACTTCTTCATCAAGACCCTGAACGATCGGTTTGAGGTTCTTTGTGTTCTTAGAATGAGCAGACACCATTGGGCTACACTAGCACGCGACAGGGATGAATGGAGATGTTACTGGTGCCCACTCGAGCAAATCGATGAGTAGCGGGATGTCAAGTGATCAAGTGATTCTCTTTTCCTTTCCCTTTTTATCTTGTCAAAGTATGAAAAACAGAATGACTATAAATCTTTTAGTAATACACAGAACTCCCTTGTTCTCCCACACCCAATTCTCTCTTTAGAGGAAAATGATTTCAACTCCTCTGTAAAGATCACATTCATTTACTTAGTTATAAACCACCTTTTACCCCCGTCTACAAATGTGTATGTCTCACTTACCTAGTCAACCCAGTAAACTGATAGTCTTGGGAAAGTCAGTATTCAAGGACTATAGCAGTCTGATAAAAATAAATTGACTCCCAGCAATGCTACAAAGATTCAATGACTTCTCCTTAGAAAATTTTTCTGTTTCTTCTAGAAATATTCAGCACTGTTTCTGTTGTTTGTCTTTTTATACACCGAATGTTCATTTACCCCATGAAACTCCCCCAGGAATGGAAAAACCCAATAAGGTCAAAACCTCTAGAAGTCTAGATGTTTTCTCTGTTGGTTTTATCTGGGGACAGGCAGGGGGAGCTGGAAGAGACAGAGAAATCCCAACATCTTCATCTTAATTAAAGCTGACTGCGGTGGTTCCTCTTTAGTTCTGACTTAGTTGGGAACTTTCAAATATTTTAAGATTCCAGTTGAATTAAGAAGAATTGGAGATCTTTTATTTTTCACAAGTGCCCCCCCCCCCCCCCCGAAAATTCTGAAGCAAGTACTGATTTAGAAACTGCTGCCCAGGTTTCTCGGAAGATTGAGGAAAACGTGTTTGCGACCTCCTGGGTAGGGTGTCTCTGAATCCAGAGGATGATGGCAGAGAGTCAGAAGAGGTCAAAGAGGAGAGAGAGGGTGGAGGGGGAGCAGAGAGATAATACAGTGGGAAGGGCGCTTGCCTTGCATGCCGCTGAATAGGGCTCAGTCCCTGGCAGAGCTAGCAGAGATGGATGTGGCCCAACCTTCTCCTAACCCCCTCCACCCTGAGCACCTGTGGGGAGGAGAGGAGGGAGAAAGGGGACAGGGAAGAGAGAATTCTTTCTAAAAGAGTCCTGACCATAATAAATAAAATCAACACGACTCAATCTCAGTTCTGTGGTGCAGATCACTTCTGGGGAATACGGATGAGCTGAGGTAGAACTAATTTAAAGTGGGAAAGTGGACCCAGGGTGCTGGGTAGAGGAAAGCTAGGTGCTGAGAGCAAGGTCCTCCAGTAATTGCACTCCCCAAAATGAGGCAACAACTTGTCAGGCTCTTCCCAGAATCAGTTACTCACTTTGGGCACATCCTGTCAGTGGGAAACTGGCTATGTATGAATGGAACTATATAATTACTTGAATGTTTTATTGAGACCATAAAAAGTTTAAGTCTTGTCTGATTACTGAGTAGACTAACAATTCTGGAGTGTACGAGTACAGGTTTTTAACTCCAGCAAGCTGGGCAAACCAGCATGGGCGAGCTGGAAAAACTGAGATTCCGGTCACCTTCCATCTGAGCGTCAGACTCAACCCTCTCACCACACCCCCCCACACTGAGCTTTTCCCCCTTCAATTAAAAGCGTTCAAAGAAAATCACCTTGGGGCCAGAGCAATGGTACAGTGGGTAGGGCGGGGAGGGCACTTGCCTTGCATGTGGCAGATCCAGGTTCAATCTCCAGCATTCTATATGGTCTCCCGAACAACACCAGGAATAATTCCTGAGTGCAGAGCCAGAACTGGCATCAGCTAGTGTGCCACATACCCCACCCCACCCCCAAATAAAGAAAAGAAAATCACCAGATGAACAGAAGGATGGAAAACTTCAGTTGTTGACTAATCATACTTCAAGCATCTTGGGGGCAGACTACTACCTAATCCAATGACGTTTTAGTTTTCCAGATGGGTTCTTTAGTGAATACGTCAGACTTTAAAGAGAATAATCTATTCAAATGAATTAATGTAAATGAATTTATACTAAATCATCTACTCAAATAAATTTATACCCAATGGAGTTTGCCTGATCAAATGATGTTTCCATTACACCAGGTTAAAAGCATTTCTTTTATACAACAAAGGCAACTCTCCTCCACCCAATTCCTAATCCTAATTTTATAAAAATTCTAACTTTCATTTGACAAACTCTCAAAGTTGTTTAAGACGTAAGTTTGCAACAACACTGAATGATAAGTAAGAGCAGGGGTGTTACAAAAGTCAAAGGTGGTGGGTGTGGGGGCGGGGGGGTCACAATTCTGAAAATGTTGAAAAGCAAAAACTGGGCTGGGGGTGGAGGTGGTTATTGAATTCAGTCACTGGAATATAACAGCTGAATATTTTTTTCTTAAATGAA